AATTTTTCACTCATATGGAGACGCCACCACTTGCCGGTGGAGGGCTACAAATTTTGTCCTATGCTCGGCACTCAGGGCCTTTGAGCAGTGAGGGATCTTTTTCGTGCCAGCAACTACTGCGACACGGGACCTCGGTTTATACGGCCTCATCCGAAGGACCGGTCCCCACATCCAGCAGTGGGATTCGAACCTGCGACGTGAGGATTGACTCCTTACTTCGCGACTCTAGAGCAGACACTCTAACCACTTCGCCACGCGGGCGACTTTAAAGTTTTGAGGGAAACATTCAGTATAATGATTAAAAGTTTTCCTGGGAAGATTAAGTTTAATTTTATTTCAAAATTTTGGGAAACATTCCGTTCAATGTTTCATTGTTTTTGTGCAAACATTCAATATAAGGTTTCAAAGTTTCTAAAGAAACATTCAGTGTGCTTCATTGTCTTTGTGAAACATTCATTATAATTTATATTTCAAAGTATTTGTCTCAAACATTCAGTATAATGTTTTAAAGTTTGTGTCGATACATTTATTATGTTTTTTCAAGTTTTTGTGGAAGCATTCAGTATAATGTTTCAAAGTTAATGTCGAGACTTTCAGTTTAATGTGTCAAGTTTGTTTAGGAAACATTCAGTATAATATAATGTTTCAAGTTTTTGTGGAAACATTCAGTATAATGTTTTAAAGTTTTTGTAGAAACAATCAGTATATTGTTTCAAAGTTTATGTCTACGTATTCAGTATAAAGTTTCAAGTTTGTTTTAGAAACATTCAATATAATGTTTCAAAGTTTTTTATGGAAATATTCAGTATCATGTTTCATAGTCATGTATCAGTGTTTGTGGAAACATTCAGTACAATATTTCAATATTTTATGTTGAACAAAAAGTATAATGTTTGAATTTTGTATTGGAAACATTCAGTATAATGTTTCAAGTTTTGATGGAAACAAGTATGGTGTTTCAAAGTATTTGTGGAAACATTCAGTAAAATGTTTCAAAGTTTTTGTGGAAGATGGCGCAGTATAATGTTTTCAGTGTTTTGTGGAAGATGCAGTATAATGTTTCAAAGTTTTTGTGGAAACATGCAGTATAATGTTTCAAAGTTTTGTGGAAACATTTAGTATAATGTTTCAAATTTTTGTGGAAACATTCAGTGTAATGTTTCTAGTCTTAGTGGAAACATTCAGTATAATGTTTAAAAGTTTTGTGGAAGCATCCAGTATAATGTTTCAAAGTTTTGTGGAAGCATTCAGTATAATGTTTCAAAGTTTTTTGTAGAAACATTTAGTGTAATGTTTCAAAGTTTTGGTGGAAGCATTCAGTATAATGTTTCTAATCTTAGTGGAAACATTCAGTACAATGTTTCAAAGTTTTGGTGGAAACATTCAGTATAATGTTTCAAAGTTTTGTGGAAACATTCAGTATAATGTTTCAAAGTTTTGTGGAAACATTCAGTATAATGTTTCAAATTTGTTATGGAACATTCAGTATAATGTTTCAAAGTTTTGTGGAAGCATTCAGTATAATGTTTCAAGTTTTTTGTGGAAGCATTCAGTATACATGTAATGTTTCAAAGTTTGGTGGAAGCATTCAGTATAATGTTTTTAAGTCTATATCAAAATATTATAAACTTTTCCATTCTTTTGTTTTCTTTCATTTTACGCTCTCCAGGAAACGCTTGGATAATGATCAAACGGATGACATTGTTATAAGACATATTAACATTGTCAGATTCTTTTAAAAAATATATGTTTTAGGAATTACTATGGCTGTTGTGATTTGTGAGCGCGCGTGTGTGTGAGAGGGTGTGTGTGTTGAAGGGGGGGGGGGGCTAAATGCTTGTGTAACTGAGTATAAAGAAACTCCTATTATTAATAACAAAAGGATTTTTAAAAAATTAATATAATCTTAGTCCTTTACAATTAAGGGAAAAATTACAATGAAGAGGAAAAAAAATTCAAATCCTTAAAAGTCAGGATTATGTTACATCTGTCTCAGAAATCATTCGAGATTTGTACATTTTCCGACTTTTTAACAAAAGACCGCACTCAAAAATATAAATTTTAACTCATCATAGTGGAAATAGAAAGTATTTATAATGTATTGCGGAAAGATGCCCATTGAAAACGCGGAAGAAATTTTTTTTTCTCTGGAATATACAATATGTACAGTTGTTCCATAGAAAATAATAATAGAACAAAACAAGTTAACAGTTTTTTTTTCAAGAATGACCTCTGAAAATGTCTATTAATCCAACTGCCGCTCTATTCATCCTACTGTGTGCTTTTGATGATCTTCCGATTGTTTCAAATATGGATGGATGTTTCGGGTTCGTACTTTTTATATTGCAAACATGTACTTGAGTAATTACATGTAACATAATTACGAAAATAAAGTTATAATTATATAGCATTAATATTTTAAAATGCACAGGGTGTTTTGTCTTTAAAAGTGTCTTAAAATTTTTAGGCATGCTTATGCTTGCTGTGTAGGCTTCGTGTGGAATCAAGAGGAGAGGGCGTGTGTTAGTCAGTATAAAACACATGTACTTGCATCATTGTACTAGAATGTTACACAAATTTTTAATAGACGTTTGAAAAATTTAGATTAGCATATTTGATTTTATGTTTCATGAAACATCTCTATTCGGATTTCACTTCAGAATTATTTTTTTTTATTAATAACAAATTACTTTTCAATGCTAGTTGCCAAAACATTCTACAAATGTATACTATGTATTACCCAAAGGATACATTGTATTTCATTTTTCTTTGCCATGTCTCTCGCAAAACTAATTAAAAGTATTTAAATTTTCTGAAGAATGTCAAAACGGATATTCTGGGATAAATTGCTCTGAAATTTGTCAGTATCCAAATTACGGGGAGGACTGTCAAAATGAATGCAAATGTACCCAGGAAATGTGCGACCATAGTAAAGGCTGCCAAGATATATCAACAGGTATGCTTCTTTAAAACATATACTATATACAGCTAATAATTGACTCATTCTATTTTTTTAATTTACTACTGACCGGTTAGCAGGAAATGCTCACTTCTCCACAGCACCTGATCCCAACTCAGATGTCTTGGTGTCTATTCTACTCTTATTCCTATCGTTATATGGACTTTTGAGCTTTTACATGGACACATTTTAAGCTAATAATTTCATTTACATTTTTTTTTCATTTAAAAATATCAGAATTACTCAAGCGTAAAATTTATGACGTCACGTAGGGAAAACGCTAAAAAGTCCAAAACACGTGCAATTTGATAACAACGTGTTTGTTCACAAATCTTGTTGCATTATTTGATGCATATGAGGTATGCAAATCGTTTTTCAATATTAAGAGACATTATGAATTTATTGCAATCTTGGCACAGTTTACGGAAGTTCAATGGGGTTTTGTTTTTGAAATGCCTAATTAATGAAAAAGGCAACAATGGTTTACTAAGCCTTCTGTAGTAAATTTTCCCCTATAAAACTTTTTAGCCGTTGTCAGAGAGGGTCTGGAGTGGATTTCAATCAACCGTGACGCTGACGTTAACGCGAAACAGAGCCATGTTACGAGCGGATTATTCATCCTGCCATCTCTTAAATCGCCACTTTACTACCACAAAAACAGCCATTTATAGTGTACACGATTATAATCATTACATTCATACGAAATTTGAAAGAAAACAATTCTGCAATTTGGTTTTTTGAGCCAGTCAACTTACTGTTGTATTCCTCTCACTGGCGCATGCGCGCGTCGTTTGACTTATTTTTTTGCGTGGTTACCCATGCTAAATATAGCCAGGGTTTAAAAGATAATCACTCTGATGAAATTCCATGAAAGGAGAAATAAGACTCTGACAGATGCACAAGATGGACATTGAAGATAATGAGAGTTTTCAATTTTCCCTTTTGGGGGGTATCGTCATTTGAGCTTCAATAACTCATGAATAACTACACAAAATCATTTGAGTATTTGGTTTTATCTTTTTGAAAGATGATTTTAAAAGTTAGATAGGAAAACTAAAAAGTATTTTAAGAAAAACAAATTTAATTCACCTCAAAAGTTTACCCTGCGTTTCTTTTTCCCTTCAGTATAGATACGATTAGACAGTTTCTAGTGTTTTGATGAATTTCATTTTGTTTTAATAATAAATCTGATAGTTTCTATAATTATGTAAACAGAAACAAGACACGAGCATTAAGTTCTGTATCTTGTTATAGTTAATAAATAAATGATGTTTAAATATTTGCTGATCATTGGATAATGCCTTAGCTAGGAACTATAAACATTAAAATTGGTTTTAAAAAATTCAGTTTAAACTGTGTCTTTTTCCTTTTAAAATAAAAATAGAAATCAATGCACAAATTGTGCCGACAAAATTACACGAGTTTACAACAGAATCCGTCCATTTGAAGTGGAGGTGACAACATAACGCAAAACCGTCACTTTGTGGCTCAGTTCTGTTACAAAGACATTCTCCAGACACGTGTAGGTACACTGAAACGTTGGTGGATGACCATTGGCTTTTGGCAAGATTCAATACTTTAAATGAAATGAACAAGGCAAAGTCACGGCAGTATCATTATACTAAATACACACATATAGCTGTGAGCTGCATAAAACTGCGGTGAGAGGTTAGTTTTCTTTTAAAATTATAACCCAACATTGAACGTTTCTATCACAGACAAGCTATCAATGTTTTTTTTTTTCTTCTAGCTAATTAGAACAATGGAAATTACTTTTCATACCTTTGTATATATTAACTGTGGCGTTTGTTATTAGAAATAAATCTGATGTACGCAACCAAGATAATTCTGCAAGGCAAATAATTTCACAATATAAAGAATTAAAATGTACAGAACGTGTATCACCGATATAAAATCCTATAATCCTAGACATTGCTTGAATATGGGCTTTTGAGTTACATATATTAAAGATCGATGCAATATATTCAATATATTCAAATTAAGTGTAGAAGAAATCTTCAAAGATTTCCCACCCAAATCTCACATTAACTTTACATTCCTTATATACTTTAAGATTTTATTTTTAGTAACAATTACAATGAAAGAGACTGAAGACATAGGATAGCATATTTCTCACTCTAGCATTTTGGCTATAAACAAACAGAAATCAATTCTGTGTTGAAGATTTTACTTAAAGTTTATAAATGGCTCAAACTTATCACCTTCCTCCCGGGCATGGTTTGAAGAAACTTGAATCTGTTTGTTTCATTACATGTAACATGTACATGTAATTATTTGGTTACTCGTATCATATGAAAGATTTTCTATATATTTTCGTATTGACCGCTGAAAATGTGATCTTTTGGCGCGTCCTTGCCCAAATGATGTTTAAAGAAAATTAATCCAAGCTTTCAAAGGCATGCATCTGGTTTGATATAACTATTCACGATTCTGCTATTCTTGAGGAGTTTTAAGGTATTTATAGATTTTGTTAAAAATTTATCAAAATTGAATTTATTTTTCTTTTTAAATAATTGTGGTTGGGATGATAAAATTCCAGAATGTATTTAAAAGAATCGTTTGCGCGACCACCTGAAAAAATTCTAAGCCCCACACAAAGAGGAAATAGTGTTATCTATATTTTGTATCTAATAGTAGAAAATAGTATTAAAATCAAACTCGCAATTTACAATTAACATCACATTTACAAAAATATACTTTTTCATAAGGAGGAAATAGTCGTTGAGAAACACGGAAATTATTTATTTGTATTAAAGCTTATCTCCTGAATAACATTTTAAATACACGTGTTGAAGGAAAAATGTTTTCTGATCTACATTCTTTTTTAATTTTACTTTGGATCTTGATAGACTGTCCTCTAAGTGTTCTGAACATGAACAACTGTCATGGGTAAGGCGTCAGAAAACCTAATTTCTGCACATGCTGGCTAGATTTATAAATTAAGTAGCGTTTAATAACTTAATACATGTATATTTTATAAATCTAAAATGAATCTACTCATGGACAGTTTTTTTTTTTGTTAAATCTTTGAAGCATAAAGAGGGGAATGTTCGTAAATATCGCTAGGCTCTGCACACGTATAGTTTTATAATGTATATGTATATTTATCTTCGGGAGTATTTATGAACATTTCTTAGAAATATTAGAGAGATAATTGTTAAAAAATATTAGAGAGATAATTCATATTAAGTATTTAATCTTAATAAAGACCTAATGATTGTAACATAATTTATACCCAATACCCAATCAACTTATATAGTCATGTAACTCGTGAATATATGATTTAAAATTATCATATACACACTCGCTTTTTTCAAAGATTTAAAAAAATTCATTAGTCTCTTGCTCTTTTGTAATAATTTAAGTTGTTTTAAATAATTCCCCCTAAATAGTTTAAAGAATTATTTATTTTTGTTCAATTACAAGTTATTATATATTTGAGGAAATATGTATACCTCTCGAAAGCACACCATTTTCCAATGCTTTAAACGTCTAATCAGGATATCAAACTACTTACATATTTTAGGAACGCCCATGGTTGCTGCGATGGATACTTCTGGGATAGAAACGCCTGTGTCAGTGAGTTATAAATAAAAGAATAATGAATTTACCATTACGTAATCGTTCTTATAGGTTAAGCAAAATACGTCATAATATTGAAAATTGGTTTTAAAAAGTTTAAACACTTTTTTGTCAATAGAAAGCAGCCAGCTGGTAACATTTATTTTATACATATCTATAGAATGTCCAACGGGGTATACAGACAAAAACTGCTCAGAAAAATGTAGGTACCCGAGCTACGGAGAGGAGTGTCAACTCGAATGTCAATGCAATAAGACAGAATGTGACTATATCGCTGGTTGTATAGATGTTTCTACAGGTAAATGTATATGTATATGCGTTTCCACAAATGATGTCAAATTCATCAATCGTATAGGCATGATAGATTTTCATTTCATTTTTTATACATTTTTCAGTAACGAATTTAGACAAAACTTCGATGCTGAATGGTAAGACTGACCCGAGCTTACATTCCTCAAAGAAATTACAAAGTTCATGGAGTGTAAATAAAATAATCTCTCTATGCACTTTAGTGATATTTTCCATCAGTATTGTGCTTTGTGGAGTGCATTTAATAGTGACAATGAAGAAACGGATATGTGAACACGCATCCCACTTACAAACAGAATCGTCACAAAATGATGCCCAGTACCAGGAAATTCCAGATAATCGTATTCTTAGAAATCTCACAAATGAGAATCAGGATTGTACAAGTGTCACGCAAGTATAGAGTAACCTGAACTGAGCATAAATACATTAATTAAATTTAGGACTAATTCAGAAGCGAGCTGTCATACTCATGTTTAAAAGTGATTGATTTTTTGTATTTTTTTTTTTGTATATTTGCTATAAGTGTCATGCTGAATATGTCACATAAGACTCGTTTTCCTGTTCGAGCACTGTTGAGGGAGTGTATCAAAATATCAATAAATATCCTTTGTTAATATTGTTCTCATTTTAGAACATTTAACAATAATTAGTAGTAATATCAGTAATTATCTTAAATCACCATGCAAGTTATACAAAATATAAATGGTGCCTGTTTTGTAGGGTAACATTTGAAATTGACACCCCAAGGAAAACCATTGTCAAACGACGCGTCAGCGGAGGTTGACAATGGTTTTTTCTGAGGGGTGTCGATTTCAAATGCTACCCAACAAAACAGGCACCATTTATTTTATTATACTGAATGTCGTATTGATTTAGGACGTCAGCAAAAAAACAGTCGATCGTCTTTACGTTCATGTATATAATCTTTCATACTCACCGGTTCACTAATCTCCTTATTGTTTGTTTGATACTCGAATTGAGCCATTATCATATAAAGTTTCGTTATTTCTGTTTTGTAAGCATGTTTCCTACACTCGCAAGCATGTTTCGTCTGTCGTTTGTTGTTTTCAAGTAAGCTATATCGGACGCAGGCTTTTATTGACGTCAAGTTAATTCCAGTTCTTTCAAACGCGCAACTGACGTTTGAGAATTCTAGTGTGAACCGCACGCGCATAATTTCCACGCATGTGGCATCACCGTTGTGTTACCCGTTGTCACGTGTGTTGCTAAGGCTCAGGGTAATCGAACGGATTGTTACCTGCGTCTAAACCAATCAGATTTTAGTATTTAACATGAAAGTATAATAATATGCAATATACACAAACATTGTTTTTATGTTTTTAAATGCTCTATTTTCTGGCTATTGTTATTTTTCAATAATAAAGCTGTCCATATTCCAACGTACATGTATGCTTTGAGTCTATGAAACTCAGTGTTTCGCTTAAAAGTTTATATATTATTCAATCTATTTGATATGATTATGTCTATTTTACTATTATCCAGATTGCATTTTAGGAAAATGAATTTACTTAATATTTATTCGTAAAATAGTTGCAAATGACACTTTTTATTTTTTAAAAAATCTTTTGCCAAAGTTTGCATGAACAAGTATATAAACCAAAACATTTTTTTAAAGATTCTATGCCAGTCAAATATTAGATGTAATACACAATCAAAGAGAATATTGAATGCATACTCAGAAGAGGGAACTTTATAAAGGATGTTTATATATTACTATGAATTAACAATGTTTCTTCTCAATAACTATAAATATCTAAATTTGTGTATCCATGACACGTATTTGGCGCTCGATATTTCTATGCCCCCGTAATCGAAGTTTCGGGGGTATATAGTTTTTGTCGTGTCCGTCTGTCTCTCTGTTTGTCCGCAAAAACTTTAACCTTGCTCATAACTTTTGATTTAGTGGAGCTATGACTTTCATTTTTTACATGTGTATACCTTGTGAAAAGATATTTCCTTGGGTACAACCAAATTTGACCTTTTGACCTTGACCTTGGAGTTTGACCCACTTTTACATGAAAATTTTAACTTTTTACTTTGGCCATATGAGAACAGCATCCTCACCACGTCAGGGGTCCTGAGTCAACTCGTTGCTGTTGGACCCCGGACTTATTTCATTCGAAATCTGCGGGTTGACTACAGCGACGTCTTTCGGGGAAATTACAATCTCTCGACCAATCAAATTAAGCCTAACACAATACCTTTCGGTAAGACAGCCAATATGGCTGATATAGAAGTTGTAAACAGAATTTGTCAGAAATTCAATCTGAAGTCACTTACAGATCAACAAATTTCGGCGATCGATGCCCTGAAGAAAGGAAACGACACATTTGTTGGGACAAAGACGGGGAGTGGGAAATATCTGGTCTACGAAAGCTCGCCGATTGAGAGAATGGTGTTACAACTGTGCTTGCTCCGCTGAACAGTATTATGTCTGAACAAATAGAGAGACTGAACAGGCTAGGATACAGAGCTGTGCAAGTATCGAATGACACTGATAAGCAAGCTGTTATGAACGGATATTTTCAGTTCGTGTTTGGAAGCCCCGAACTTCTTGTCGGTGATGATAAATGGAGAGAAGTTTTGAGAAATCCAATCTTCACATCAAAACACCAATTGATTGTGGTCGATGAGGCCCACACCGTAATTCAGTGGTAATTTAAGAAGAATACATCAACCATTTGAATATAGAATAATTGCATCAACTTGAAATTGCCCCTTTTTAACAACGCATGTTTTAAAACTTCCTCACATGTCAAATGATGTTTCTTTAATTTAATTTAGTTTTCCAGGAAATCGATTATTAATTTATTAAAATTGAAAGTTTGTGTATACTTTTAGGGGGCTAGAGCATCAACAAGAAGGGCCATTTCGACAGTGGTTTGCTCACATAGGAGAGATGCGATCACTTTGCAGTGGGGTACCTATACTGGCGCTCACTGCGACAGCTAGCCCCACACACAGATGCCAAATTATGCAGAAACTGTGTTTTCGTCATCCATCCTGTAATTCTAGACAGTCCAGATAGATCAAACATTAAATTGAATGTACTGAAAGTGAAAAATAATGTAGAATTAGAAAAATGTATTTCAGTGGTTAACAGCTGCATTACATGTAGTTGAGAATGGGCAAGAATTACAGAGGCATCTAATATTTTGTAACTCAATTAAAAACTGTGCTATGATTTATATGCTGTTCTTAAAAATCTGTGGGCCTACAAATCATTTTAACATGTATCACAGTAAAACAACTGTTGCCACTAAAGAAAAAATCCGTAAAGACATGAATGAAGCGAATGGTAGTATAAAAGTGTTAATATGCACAAATGCAGCAGGGATGGGAGTGAATTTCCAAAACTTAAGGGATGGCAGGGATGGATCCCCATCAAATGAACTGATTATCTACAAGGCAAATCAATTACAAAAGGTGGATGATGATGTGATTGAGCTTCTTAAAAGTACTAGTACCTGTAGGCGAAAAATGCTAAATGAAGCTTACATGAAGAAACACACAAGAGATTGTGATCACCTCTGTTGTGACATCTGTGAATTAATGTGCAAATGTCAAAGTGATGGTTGTCTGTCAAAGCATTCTGCAAAGGAAACATTTTTGAATTTGAGAGATGAAGATAATGAACTAGACATGAGAAGAGAAATAGGAGGAGAAGAGAAAGCCATTGTTCAACAAAGACTTCAGTCATTGAAGGACAACATATTTGAAGGAACCAAATCTTTCATTCACAGTGACATTGTTTGTGGGTTTTCTGTTCAAGAAATCATAGCAAGTTACCTTTTTTATTTACTGTTAATGATATACTAGATAAAACAAGTGTTTATTCTTTTTCATTAGCCAGCAAGATAATCCCAATAATTACAGAAATATTCAATGACAATGAAATGTATGCATTAGAGGAGATTAACTCTGATTAATAATTATAAAAAAAAAACAAAAACATAGTTAATCTGTTATTAGTTATTCAATGTCCGTTTTTATTTGGTTCATTCATGATCATTTTATTTATTTCTATAGATTTTCAAAATATTTGGGATTCATTTCACATAGTCTAATTTATAGAGCTTAGATCATATAATTCTCTGTTTTATTTTCATTTTTTAGCACAATCTGGCTGGATGAATTAAATTATACTATTAAGAAATTTATGTTATTTTGGGATCTTATTTTAAAATACTTTTCCCATATAGTTGTATGTCAAACTTTGATCCCCCATTGTGGTCTAACCCTTCTCCCAGAGGACATGACCTCAATAAACTTAAAACTTCTGTACCAGTGGATGCTTCCACATGAGTTTCATATTTCCTGGCTCAGTGGTTCTTGAGAAAACGATTTAAAAAAATTTTGGTCGGAAAAGTTCACTTGAGACTTGAAAGATATAGCTATTAAAGCAGTTGTCTGTTATCTGACATGATTTTTTCTTAGAACGGCTAAAATACATTTGAACTATACATGTACTGAAAACATCCACATGACTTGCGAACTGCATGCCATGTTTTACAGATGTACTTTTGCTGTTTCGTGCTGAGTAACTAAATAATTTTTTGATCTGAATTTACATTTACCATAATGACTATTACAAAAAATCACCCCATCCAAGCAAGTAAAGTATTTGAAAGTTATATCGGCAAATAAGTAGCATTCACGTCGAGCTAATTTTCTAATATTTTGAAGAAAAAAGATGCTATCAAATGATGCTGACTTCAATGAGAAGCTACTTTTATTTGTTTTTATTTGGCTATGTCTATTATAACCGCTGGTAGGACTAATGAATTATTTGTAACTTGGTTGCTAAAAAAACAGACAATTTTTATTTTGACGCAGATTAGTATGGCACTCAAAATTCACAAAAATGAGCTAAAATAGTTTCACAGTTGAGAAACTAGGTTTATCGACTGTATACTGTAAACTATAGTTTACAAACAATAGTTAACAATTCGTAAACTACAGTTTTCATTACGAATGCTAATCTTAGTTTTTCTGTTTGTAATAAAACGTTAACAATAAATTATGTTGATAAACATAGATTCACGTCTGAAAAAAATAATTTACAAACCATAGGTAAGCGTTGTTAATCAAAGTTTCACAAATCGTGAAACTATATTTATCAGATTGTTAACTATAATTAAGAGTTGTAAACCATAGTGTAAAATATAGATTAACATTCTTAATAATAGTTTAAAGTCGGTAAGTTATACTTTACAACCGGTAAAGCTAGTTTACCGACTGTGAAACTATATATTAAGCTAATTTTTGTGAATTTGGCGTGCCATAGATTAGGCCTAATAAATAGGTAAAGTGCATTCTCATATATACTAGTAATATATTCCGTCTCTTGATATGTTGTAAACATGACAAGGTTAATCCAGTTTATTATCTGTAGTTACAGCGAGATTGCAGTTCCTGCGACGCACAGAAAAGTTTTTATTTAGCTTAGCGAAGGTTTATGAGCTGAACCACTCTAAATTGGAGGTTGCAGATCTCAATTTTTTTTCCTTAAATTTGAATCAAGGTTTACATAAATCGCTATTCATATCCACCTTTAAAGGGGTTTTGGGCCGTTATTGGAAGAAACCTAAATCTCCGTAACCCAACGATGCTGAAATGACAATAGATCCACTTACTCCAGAGATTTCTCTCAAAAGTTAACAGGCGACTTGACGGACGCCGGACACTAACGACAGGGAGAGGAAACTAATGAAATTAGCATTTCAGGTGATGTGTATTTTAAATCAATTAGACAGAATGTTTTAAATTATATTTAATTCTCTATGAAATATAAATTTCAATCAAAGAATTACTGTAGTTTGTTGGGTATGCCAGAGGCATTGGCGATAGTTGGAAATATCGGATAATATATGCTTCGTCAGTTGATATTATGCAAATAATCCTACATTTCCAGCTGTCGTTGCATTTGATGCCCTTCCATACCCAAGAAACTAGACAGTGTTTACTATATAAATATACATATAATTATATGTATACATGTAACTACAACATATCTATATATTACATGCAACAAAAAAAAAATAGTTGCGGAGAAATAAACGAACATTAATGTTTTAAAGAAGATTTTTTCAAAGTACAACAAAGGTACGAATGTCAATATGAATTTATTCATTCCCATTATTTGTTGATTCGATTTCCTTCAACTTACCAAGGATATGGTGAATCCACAAAAGGCAAGTAGATTTTAACGCAGTACCATACAGAAACGATGCCTTTGGGTAACGTTGCTCACCTTAGCACATTAGTTAAACATATAGGCAAAAACACAAATCAGCTCAGTATTGGAAATTTAATCAGCAGGTTGGGGGGAGGGTGAATTTTATACATTTACTGCTTGAGAATGTCAACATATCAATATAATAGGAATATGTAACTTTGCCGTTCTCGAGAGGGATAGTTTTAAGCATTTTTTTAGTAGACATACTATTTTGTAAATAAGTGTCACCAAAACACACTAGGCCTCTGGGTTATGAAACAATTACATGTACCAGTCCTTTTCTCATGAGTGTGTTTATAAAACATTAATTGAGCTGATTTACTTTGTACTGACCATGAAAATTCATTGTACCAAAGAAAATAGAAGCCATGCAGGCATTCTATGCTTCACTGTGCTTAGCAGATCAAAATGTACATGCTGTCTTTTCAAAAAGTTTGTCAATGCATTTATTTTTTTCATAAGGTACTAATAAAAATAGCCTACATACTTTATAAGATATTTTAGGCAGGGGTAAAAGTGCCCCTTAAGTTATAATACTTCATAACTTCAATAGTTATACAAAAAGTGGATATTGTACATGTGTTATGAAACTGAAATTTCAGAACTTTGAACTTTCTTTGATTTTAAGTTAATGACATTGTAATATATACATTTATCATGTTAAGTTTTGAAGGGGTGGATACATGCATATAAAAAGAAACATTGCAACGTTTTGTATAAAGTTCTATTTTTAAAAACTTTCAAAAGTAATGGTAATGCATTACTTTACCAAAGTAATGGTAATGTAATGCATTACTTTAGGAAAATAGAGAAATAGTAATGGTAATTTAATGCCCAAATTGTTGAAGTAATGGTAATGGTAATGCATTACTTTCAATGTAATTCGCCCAAGCCTGACATGTACCATTTGCCCCTTTGAGTCATAATTGGAATAAAATTTAATCTTCACTACATACGAATACGTACATATCAACTTGACTAAACCTTACTTTTCTGTTCTGTAGTAGATTTTTCCTTCTGTATATTCTTACGTAAAACTCCATCATTGCCGCCAACCCCCCCCCCCCCCCAACCCCCCATCCCAAGGCTATGATTTCAAGAAACCTGAATCCTTAACACTTTAGGACGGTTCCTTTAATTCCATTTAAAAATGTCTAACCATATATTGGCTGTTCTCCAGATAATTATTAAAAAATATTTTAATATACCAATTATGTAAAATTTGATACTATATTGTGTCCCTATCCATTGATTTGAACAATCATGAGTTAGATTTGACTAATTATGAACCTACACTGGATGAGGATGCTTAATTCAATACCATTCAATACCCTCTTCTTTCTGAGGGTGGGATGAAACTGCAAAAGGAAACTTTACAAAAGGAAAAATCCTTGAAAGTCTTCTCAGGTACAACATTGAATTGATATGAAGGCAATCGTATGTGTTAATTCAAATTTGGTTCTACTCCAATAGCGGCGGAGGGGAACACACCAGGAGAATCTTTCACCGGAATATATATATGAAAAAATCTTGAAGTTATTTCTCTTGTTAAAATCAATGCATCTTATTATCTTATTTATATGCAAGAATCTTTAGTGTCTGACAATTTGTAGATATCCAGGTTCTCAGAAATAAGTTTGGGCTCCCAGTTTTTTACATTTTGCGTTGTTATTTCATTTCGCATTGTACTTGTAACAGGGCAACAAGAGGGAATCAGAGTTTTCAATTGCAAGGAATGATAAGGAATGGAATTTCTTAAATGATTGGTTTTGGCCGACGGATGTGTTGTATCAAGTGTTGAATCAGGTGATACATCAATGACATACTTATTGAAGTAATCATTTGTCCTTCGTCATATCGCTTTTAAAAAAACAGCAATGATAAAATTATTTTAGTAATAACAAGCAAATATTTTTTTTAACTTAAAGACGCAAAGTCATTTATATTTTTATGCAAATTTCAAATTATAATAACATTTATGTGTACTATTTGGTACAACAGATAAAACTAGCACAAATGTCAAAAAACAGTAAACAAAATCTCAGTTACTTGTAATCAATGTTTGTTAAATTGTTCAAACATCGTCTGTATTACTTCTTTTCAATTCAGAAGCCTCTTCTATATCTGTAACATAAAAAAAGCATGTACTTAAAAAAAGGGATAACATCACTTAAAGATTGATTTAGAACTACTTGGACTGTTGCCATAAAAAAATCCAGGAATGTTTAAGGAATTGAAATTCCGAATAACAAAATCTATTATTAAAAAATATAATCTAAAAAAAATCTAATATTAAAAAAGTATTTTCCAGTAATTGTCATCTCCCTCGGGAGATGACACATTAAGATTGTATGCCGGAAGTGAAGTCCTAGTGTAAGCCTCCATTAATCTTTCGGAAGTCCTCGATGTTTTACAGAGTTCCAAGTAGCCTGTAAACTGGTTTTCTTTTAGAAGAACTAGCTTAGGAGTGTGTGATCTACTTTCGGTTTAGGCCTATTTGAAAGCCAAGGAAAATTTAGAAAAGAAGTACGATACTTATAAATATCTATAGTTTCGGTGTGTCGTATATATATTGATCCTCAATACTATGCCTTATTAAATTGGTAAGCCACACAAGGAGAATTGACAATGACGTGATTTCTATATATAGATTTGTTGACGCGAAGGGAAAACTGGTTCTCGCACAAAAGTAGATTCTGCAAAAAATTAACGAAGAGTGGTCAACACTAATTTTATGTTAATTTTTTAGTCTGTAATTGGACTTATTAAGTTAATTCCTGTCAAACTTTAATGATAAGCTCCTTTTAAATGAATGATAATTATTGTTGATAATTCCGTATTGAGTTAAGAAAATATAGTTCAAGGAAAGTATTATAATTTAAGTAAATTGTAAACACCCAGAAGCACAAAGACCGCTAGAAAGTAGAATGAATTAATTTCACTAAAAATCGCCTTGGGTGCTCTCGCAGACGTCCATGCTTTTCATATATATACTGCGGCCAAAAGAAACTGCCTACTTTACTGTGGAGTTTGCTGAATATAAGTCATTTGGGAACTTCAAGTGTAATAATCCATATATTCATTGCATTCAAATATTTCCCTTTCTGTTTTATTTCTTTGACATTATTGATACCAAAGAGATGACATTTCAGGCTTTCTGGAAAGCCAAACTTGTTTTATGTTTAACTTTGATTTCCCGTTGGTGCTCCAAAACAAGCTTGGATCTTCACAAACTAAGGATGCTTTGGTATCAATATGACTAATCATGTTTTTTTTCTTTTTGAGAAGAAATTTTCTTTATATATTTCTCAGTTTATGCATAACATCAATTTCCTGTCGTCTCCTAGGCCCTACATTCTGCTGCTATATTTTTACAAATGTGAAATATACACACAAGGATGATTTATCATGCATATGACTTACTTCGGCGTTGTTGGTCTTTAGAATGATTGTATGTAGTTTACGCCTAATTCGAGATAAAAAGATATTTACTAGTTAATCCTAGATATAAGTTTGATAAATGTGACCAAAACCTACATGTAACCTCGAAGGTCAAATTTTGAACAGATTTGTATTTATACCACTGTACGAATATGATTTATAATAACTTCACTTTTCTTGAAATTTTTGAACACAATTTCTTTATATCCCAATGTACACTTAACAAAACCCCTAAGTGTTCACTCTAATAAATGTATGTATTTAAAAACTACTTTTTAGAAGAATAGAATGATATTTGCAAACTATTACAACAACTGAGTCTTCCCAACAATTGTTAAAAGAAAATCAATGATCACTCAGTCTGATGAAAACCAATGTTCCATGACTAAGCTTGAAAACAATAAATCTTTACTTTGTGGCATATGTTTTGTGTAATAAGCATCTTTTTGTGATCATTATCAAATTTTAAAACTGGTGTCACTAAAAACACAAAACATTGACAAAATGACCAATGAGATACAATTTAGAAGGAAGAGCCGTTGGAATGTTAAAATCTGGGCAATCCTTGCATCACCTTTAAATCACTTTTATTTTATTTTTAAATTGTCCTTGCTATTACTTTTAAAAATTAACAACTTGTATCAAAACCCATTTTAACACTTTTTTTTCTATAGACTGTGTGTCATTTGCATCGCCAATTTATTGCAATTTGAAAGCTTTGGACAAAATTTGACTAAACCGGAAGTGACCTTGATTTTTGTCTGAGGTCAAAAGAGCCATAGCTGCCTTACCAACGACTCGGTCGACTCAAGTATTTAAACGGAAATCACCTGTTTTTATTTATAGATATATGTACCTTTTCAATTCAAGATCAAACTACAAGAATGTAATCATTTGTGGACCAGTGTTATATTTTCATAGTTGCAAGTTTGTTACATGACAATCATTTACTTGTTCAATACTCATTCTCTAAACAGGATTTGTAGAAAATTTTAAAAATAAAACAAGCTAGCAGCTATGACTTTGTGTCATTAAAATAGTTTAGGACTGTTTCTCCCGAGATACTTTTAAGGTTTATGTTGTATTATATATCTCTTACATTATCTATACATGTGTTGTAAAAAAAACAAGAGGCCCACGGGCCTTATAAGTCACCTGAGTATCATGAAACAACTTTCCAAAAATTGAATTTGGTTCGTGTTTTAAACCAGATGCCATGAAATCACAATTTTGAATGAGGCACCATTGCTTTTCATATTTATACACTTTAAATGCATGCTCTAGTTACTAATAATACCAAGAGTTAGATTAGAGTAACAAGGAGAAAATGCATTCTCACTTTATAACCAGTCGTGCACCCCACCCAACAGGAACCACTGACATTCGGGCCTAATATTTCAAAATTTTGGAAAGGACAAGATAGGGTAAGACCAGTATTTGGCCCCCGATTTTGGGTGTCTTTCAGAATGATCCAAAAGTTTATCCATGAAAACCTGTTTTCACCCCTGCAACAAAATGAGTACTGGTTTTAAGATTAAGAATATACCGAGGTCACAGTGAGGTCAGGAAATAGGTCAATTTTCGGAATTTCTCATTTTTATGCAAATTTTCACTCATTTTACAGCACATTTTCTTTCGGAAAACATAGAGCACACGCTTGCCTATCTACCAAATTTATATATCTTATACACTGATATCAGATGCAGCATATGTGTAAAAATCTCAGATAGGCAATCGTGTGCTCTATGTTTTCCGAAGAAAAATGCACCCAAAATATGATGAAAATCCACCAGAATTGAGGAAATTCGGGAAAATGTCCTACTTCTGAACCCTCTAGTGGCTTCCATGTAGGCTTTGAATCAAAAATAGTGTGTGTCTTAAATTAAGCATCATTTTAACTTGTTAACTACAAACTATCACAGTTTTATTAGTGTTCTGATTTTTATATAAAAAATTCGGCTGTTACCCTATCTTGTCCTTTATCATAAATTTTATATCATTATAAATGGAAGATTGATACGTAACCACCGAGCAGATTCCAAAGCATTAATTTATCTTCAGACTACCTACTGATAACCCCACCCCCAATCCCTGACCCAGAGAACATGAAATTTATCGAGATGCACCTTTCTTCATCATAAATATATATACTAAGATCATTGGCATAATACCTAGGAGCAATGGAAAAGATTTTCAAAGAATTAATGCATTTTCACTAAATAATCAATAGAATCCCGCCCTAACACCAGAACCCCTGACCCAGGGGCCATGAAATATACAGTTTTAGAAGAGGCATCCTTCCTCATCATAACAATGTACATAGTTCATTGGTTTAATACCCAGGAGCAGAGAAGATTTTTGAAGTTCTAATCAATGCATTTCCATTATATAGTCAATAGGGCCATGCCCTAACACTAGAACCCCTGACCCTGGGGCTATAAAATTCACAATTTTGGTAGAGGCACCCTTGCTAATCATAACTATGTACTTAGTTAGTTTATTTAATACCCAGAGCAGAAAAGAAGATTTTCAAAGAATTAATGCATTTTCACTATATAATCAATAGAGCCCCGCCCTAACCCCAGAACCCCTTACCCTCGGGCCATAAAATTCACAATATTGGTCGAGGCACTCTTGCTCATCATGAGTATGAACTTATTTAGTTTATTTCATACCATGAAGCTGAGACGTTTTTCAAAGAATTACCGGTAATGCATTTTCAATATATAATCAATAAAGCCCTGCCCTAACGCCAGAGCCCCTGACCCTCGGGCCATAAAATTCACTCTTGTTCATCGTAACTATGTATTTATTTAGTTTATTTCATACCCAGGAGCAGAGAAGAAGACTCTCAAAGAAATTATGCATTTTTACTATATTTAAGTAGAGGACTCAATGCTCATAACATTCATGCCAACATTTTAACATTTTAACTGCTTGATGTCCAGAACTAAAGAAGAAGATTTTTTTTAAAGATTTCATTAATTTTACTGGTTTTGGCCCCACCCCTCAGGCCCCAGGGGTTGGGGACCATAAAATTCACAAATTTTGTTCCCCTTCATCTATAGATGCTGTATACCAAATTTGGTTGAAATTGGTTCAGTGGTTTCAGAGAAGAAGCTGAAAATGTTCAAATGTTAACACACGACACACGACGCACGACGACGGACGAAAACAGATAGCAATAGGTCACCTGAGTGACTCAGGTTTCCTAATAAAAGATACATACGAAAATGCACAGAGCAAAAAAAAAATAAAAGCATAGAAAAGAAACACTCAATGTGAGACTCGAACTCATGAACATTATGTCTACAATCCAGCAATCATACCACTAAGCCACGCAATCATTGTAATCGGATTGACGAAATTGAGACAGATTGTTGAATCTTAAAATATTTTTGAGTAGAAAAATTAATACATATTTTCAACATTTTTAATATGAAGACCATCTTTAACCAAAATTATCTAAATAAAATTATTATAATTCAGATGTTGTTTTTCTGGTTAAAGGTGGTCCTTTGCTACAGTTTGTCATTGTTAAGGGGGTAACCTCAGTATTTACTATATTCTCCACATTAACTGAACAATTTATAATTTTATATATCTAACATATGAGGGAACTATTAATATTTGAAAATTATTTTTGTGTGATTTGCTTTAAGACTTATATAAACTAACGTTGTATGACAAAATTTTGGTTAAACAATGTATTTCTAAAAAATCACTACTAGACTAGGCGAAAGTGACTATCAAATGCGCTATGGCTCTTTCGCGTCAAACCAGGCTTAAATAGTGTTTAATTGTCCTGAGACAATCTTACAAACATGAACAAAAAACATGAAAACAATTATAATCGGTGCTTGTGGAATTTTCATACTGTGAAATCATTTAATTTCGTGGTGGTTAAATTTACGTTGTGTTTGAGGTACGAACAGACCCACGAATTCATGTCCACCCCCACCCACCCCACTTTCCACACAATGTCAACGGCTTGGTAAGATCTATGCAGTAGGTGTGCCAGCAGATGGATGAATCTCCTATTCAGGGGTACATGGTATCCAACAGTAAACGATGTATTGCAGTAATTAGAGTGGTTGGCAGTTTTATTCCATAGAGATTATTTTGTATGAATTTTCATTTTGAGGGTACATCATTTCCTTGACACTTTGCTTAAAATTCTGACAAGATACTTTCATGAAATCTAAGCAACATCGAAATGAAATATGCACCATTAACAATGAATTAGAGAAGAAATTCTTTATTACATGTATTTCTTATTTAAAATTAAAACAAAATTAAGTGAACACTTAGAAGTTTGGTTCAGTGTTTAAACTACATGTATGATCCTCTGATGTGTCCCAAACCTCCTCTTCAGTAGGTATCCTGGTTGAACTTTAATCTATAATTCTTTATATAAAAGATATATAATTTTTATCTTTTTCGACAGGATGGTTATCTTTCATTGTTTGTTAAAAGATTTTTTTTTATTCATATTGAGCACTAGCACTTTCGATAGAGGACTGCAGTGTTGCAACCACTATTGAAATAACGACCACTATTGAAATAATTATATCAATAGTGGTTGAGAGTGCATTTCAATATACAAACGTAGTTAGTAGCCACTATTGAAATATGACCACTATTGAAATAATTATATCAATAGTGTTTGAGTGTGTATTTCAATAGCAAACGTAGTTAGTAACCACTATTGAAATACGACCACTACTGAAATAATTATATCAATAGTGGTTGAGAGTGTATTTCAATAGCAAACATGGTTAGTAACCACTATTGAAATACGACCACTGTTGAAATAATTATATCAATAGTGGTTGAGTGTGTATTTCAATAGCAAACGTAGTTAGTAACCACTATTGAAATACGACCACTACTGAAATAATTATATCAATAGTGGTTTAGAGTGTATTTCAATAGCAAACATGGTTAGTAACCACTATTGAAATACGACCACTGTTGAAATAATTATACCAATAGTGGTTGAGAGTGCATTTCAATAACAAACATAGGTAATAACCACTATTGAAATATGACCACTATAATTGAAATAATTATTTCAATAGTGGGCGAGAGTGCATTTCAATATAATAACCACAGGTTTCAACCACTATTGAAATACGAGCACAACTAAAATAAATTTTTAATAGCGGGTGCCAGTGCATTTCAATATGGTAATCATAGGTTTCAACCACTATTAAAATACTACCAGTATTGAAAGAAAAGTTTCACCGCGTCAGAAACCTGTGAAATAATTATTTCAATATATATTGGATTTATTGTTCAATGCACTGTTGAAATCAATAATTTAATCCATATTGAAATCTTTATTTCAAAAGAGAACATTATTTCAATTGAGGTTGCAACCTATGTTTGTTATTGAAATGAATCTAACCCACTATTGAAATAACTATTTCAATAGCAGTCGTATTTCAATAGTGGTTATTATCTATGTTTGTTATTGAAATGTACTCTCAACAACTATTTCAATAGTGGTGGTATTTCAATAGTGTTAATTACCTATGCTTGTTATTGAAATGCACTATCAACCACTATTGAAATAATTATTTCAATGGTGGTTGTATTTCCATAGTGGTTATTACCTATATTCGTTATCGAAATGCAATCTCAACCACTATTGATATAATAATTTCAATAGTGGCTGTATTTCAATAGTGGTTATTACCTATGCTTTTTATTGAAATGCAATCCCTGCCACTATTGATATGATTATTTCAATAGTGGTCGTTATTTCAATAGTGGTTGCAACACTGCAGTTAGAGCCATTGAGAAGCTAGGACTCTTTTGAATGCAAACACCTAGTGCCAAATATATGTTCAATTTTAAGTTAAGTTTCCTCTTTTTTCCAGATATCTAAATGTAACATCTAAAACTTAAGTGATTCTCATCTCCCGTCGAAGAGTACATGATCCTTGACATGGCATCAAAAAAATTAACACTCTGTTTCCTTAAAATGCTATTTGGAAAGTTCAATTGAAAATATCAGTAGTTCTGGAGAAGAATACGAAAATATGAACAGTTTTAAAAGGTTCTTGTTAGGCAATCAGACCGACGGAATTAACTTTGATCAGGTTACTTAAATGAAATCATTTTTGTACATTCTGAAATGATAGAGCTATATTTTCATGTTTTTTTTTCATTTAAAACTCCCTTTTTTAAATGCTTTTTAGCAAGTTCAATTGAAAATACCAGTGGTCCTGAAAAGAATTTGAAAATGAGGTTCTTGTTAGACAAACAGACAGACAGAACATACTTTGACCGCGTTTTAAGAGGGACATTCATTCTATAAATAACTAATACTTCGATTCATCATCATGAAAATTAATACAAGTCATTCTATATCAAAGAATGTCTTTAAAAAAAACAAGTACTTCCCGACATTTATGAAAATAGTACTGAAAGGAAAAAGAAACGCAGGGTAGCATAATTGTCGATAAAAAATTGACCACATGACCGAAAATTGCAAAAATTGGTCAGATGGGAAATTTAGTTACTGTGCATCAAAATCAGCATTCAGAATTACTCAACCGTAAAATTTATGACGTCACGTAGAGAAAACGCTATAAAGTCCAAAACACGTGCAATTTGATAACGAAGTGTTTGTCCTCAAATCTTGTTGCATTATTTGATGCATATGAGGTATGCACATCGTTTTTCAATATTAAGAGACATTTATTTATTTATTGCAATCTTGGCACAGTTAACGGAAGTTCAATTGGGTCTTGTTTTCGAATTGCCTAATTAATGAAAAAGGCAACAACGGTTTACTAAGCGGTCTCTTGTAAATTTTCCCCCATAAAACTTTTTAGCCGTTGTCAGAGAGGATCTGGAGTGGATTTCAATCAACCGTGACGATGACGTTAACGCGAAACAGAGCCATGTTACAAGCGGGTTATTCGTCCTGCCATCTCTTAAATCGCCACCTTACAACCACAAAAACAGCCATTAATAGTGTACATGATTATAATCATTACATTTATACGAAATTTGATAGAAAACAATTCTGCAATTTGGTTTTTTGAGCCAGTCAACTTACTGTTGTATTCCACTCACTGGCGCATGCGCGCGCCGTTTGACTTATTTTTTTTGTGTTATTACCCATGCTAAATATAGCCAGGGTTTGAAAGATAAACACTCTGATGAAATTCCATGCAAAGGAGAAATAAGACTCTTACAAATGCACGAGATGGACCTTGAAGATAATGAGAGTTTTCGATTTTCCCTTTTGGGGGGTATCGTCATTTGAGCTTCAATAACTCATGAATAATTACACAAAATCATATGAGAATTTGGTTATATCTTTTAGAAAGATGATTTTAAAAGTTAGATAGGAAAACTAAAAAGTATTTTAAGAAAAACAAATTTAATTCACCTGAAAAGTTTACCCTGCGTTTCTTTTTCCTTTCAGTATATAATCATTTTTGTACATTTTAAAATGATTTCAGCCACATTTTTCAGATTTTTTTTCCATACCTGATCTAGTCCTCTGTTTCTTAAATGTCTTTCGACACATACCCCACCGAAGACACAAGACTATGGCAATCACAATTAGAGCAATCAAAACTAAAGGGATAACAACTCCCAAAACAAGAGGTAAAGGTATATTCCTTTCGTTGTTGACAAATCTGAAAAAAATGTATTTTTTAACAAAATGAATGGCAATTCTGGTAAATTATTGCAAATTAAGGATTTACAAAAGTTTGCTTACAGTGAAAAAAAATAATTTTAAGTGCACAACATTTAATTTTTAAAAATTTTCACTCTTAAAAGTTCTACGAATTCGCAGCAATTAAGCAAACTCGACACGGCTTAACATACCGGAAAACAATAATTTTGTGTCACATTTCAAATAGAGAAATTAGCGATATACCAAATGGATATAAGCCCCCAAAATCAAGAAGAAATTACTATGACTCTGCTGTTCTTCATAAGAATAACGATTCCCTTTATACTACAGTATTCACTGGGTGCATGCACGAAAAATATCCCTCACTGCCCAAGGACATAAGTGCCGCCGAGTAAGCACTCCGAAGACAAGTGGTACCATCTCAGTATGAGTGTAAATTCTCCAACATACAGACGGGCAAATGGGATTTGCTGTTCTTGGGAAGAACATTCTAAAAGATTCTCCTTCAGACATTCCTTTGAAGAAAACCCTTGTGGAACTCACCACCTTTCTGAGCCATTATTTAACACATATCATTCTCCACTGCGTACCGAAGCTTTTACACAAGTTTTATATCCCCTTGCAAATTGGTAAGTGGTCCTTTGGAAGCTAGATTTTGGAAACATGGTATTTAATTTCCGAATTACATGTACATGTATCTCCCTTTAAAATAAGGAATAGCCTTTTTTAAACAAAAATGAATTTGTACGGCAAAGTTTCGCAAGTTTTGTTGTGTCCAGTGGTGTTTGAGAAGAAGTCAAAACCTGATGATGAACAGACAGACGGGCGCGAGACAACTTTTTCTAGATCTGTTTAGGTGTTTTGCCTTTTATTAAATCAATACAAACCTAACACTTGTCGTTATTGGTACAGTGGTAGAGGATAATGAATAATTCAAGCTACTGGTAATTAGATTCTTGTCTTCTGTATTAGATGGGCCAGTAGATCTGACCACAAGTTGATAGCAATCACGATCTACAAAATGTCAAAAGGTTTATTATAAAATATTGTAAGAGTTAATTTCTTTATCTGCGTATATCAAGTTAGAGGGATATTAACGAAAGCCTGCTCAAAATTATTTATTTATTATATTCGTTCCACAAATACGCCTCTGTAAACGTCTAGAAAGCAGTGTGAACACATGGTGAAGTCTGGTGATTTTTTTTTTAATGTTTCAAATTGCCAATATACGGAAGCCCATTTAGGAATTTTTGAATTCGTTATAACGATTTTTTGAATTCGTTATAACGAATTTAATTTGTTATCATAATAACAGATTCATTGAATTCGTTATAACGAATTTAATTTGTTATAACAGATTTATTGAATTCGTTATAACGAATTTAATCTGTTACTTGTGTTACAGATTTGTTGAATTCGTTATAACCAACTTCTTGAATCGATCATAACGAATTCAACAAATCTGATATAACAGATTGAATTCAATAATTCTGTAATAACAAATTAAATTCGTTATAACGAATTTAATGAATTTGTTATAACAAATTAAATTCGTTATAACAAGTTAAAAAAAATCTGTTATAACAATTAAATTAAATTCGTTATAACGAATTCTAAAAATCGTTATAACAAATTCAAAAATATTTTTGATAGGTCCTAAATGGGCTTCCGTACCAATAGGATAAACTGTTTAATGAGTCAGTGATGCAACTTTTTTTGTCTATGACTATGAGAACTAATTCATGTTGATTTTTGCAATCTGTTTTAAATTTTCTACGTTCCCAATATCCTACCGAGAAATAATCCCTTGTAAGATATACGGCCGCGTAAAAGCTATATATGTTATAAATTTTCATAAAATTGAATAATCTTTGATTTGATGAAAGTTTATCAAACTTCGAAATATGCAATAGGTATAAGATACATTAACAGAGGTGATGTAGCGAGGCGTAATACATCCACTCGTGTGAGATTAAAAAAAAATTATTAAGGTACACAAATTGAACCATTATATATTGCAATAGCTTATCAGAATCTCCTGTCGATTTTAAGATTGTCCAATTAACCTTTATATCATTGATAATATGCATGTACTCTAAAACTTTATTAGAACAACATTTATCAAGGCTATTTCAATTAGAATCATGTTTGTGCATAAAACGTCCGCCCTCAGGTTACAAAAGCCAAAGACGATCGAGGACACTTATTCATCATCGACAAAGAATACTGGGAGGGTTATATATCTAGAGCCAAAATTCTTGTTATTCCCAGAATTATTGCTTTTATAAGTAATAGTTACTGTAGTAAATTTTAGCTAGAGAGACAGACGGACGGACAGACATCTTTATCACTATATACCCAGTTCTCCCACTTTTCGGGGGGTACAAAAATGTCTGGATTTTCGTAATCTGCATGTTTGAATTCTTACATTTATATGTGTCTGTTGATCTGTATCTCAGAGGACATGTGTTTTCTGTAAACACACTACAGTCTGTATTCTGATTCGCCTGGATAACGCCTCCTCCTTCATTGTATTCTGTACATCGTCCTGGTAAGTATAAAGAGTGGAATTAAATTGTAAAATAACACGGACATTTCTAAATATCACATTTATAAACTTTTTAAAAGTTGTTTTTAGGCCTAGATACATTTAATTGAAAATATAATTTGCGAAAAAAGTTATCTGTTTAATATTAACCGACACATTATGTAACATAATAACAAAGATCAAGTGCGTTTGCAGCTTTAAATTTTCAAAATAATACCTAAACATAACTGTGAAATCATCATATTTCATAGGGGTTTATTTTACGTTGATTTCTTAGAATAAAGAGACATTCGAATTCATGTCCATCAGGAAAAGTATATCATTTACATCACTGTACATTGAACATCAGTACATAACAAACCCTTATTTACGAAATCAAATCCCCAATAACACATAGTAGTTCATCAAACCTCGAAAATATGACCCAAAGAAATTTTGTGAGTATTTTACAGTACCCGTTACAAGAAAACACAATCAATTCATTACTTAAATGTTTCTGGAGTACAATGATATTTTTATAGTATACAAACCATTAACGATGAATTTAGGTACCGCGCACACCTCTATTGTAACATTTAGGAAATGATTGGGTACGCAGTGATAGACTAAAGCAGAGCTACTGCAGTCTTGGGATAGGGAGGAACAGTTCTTTCTTAAAGCCGCTTGATTCCAGTCACTTTCATTTTCTGGACAGTATTCTACCACATCGGCTGAGGATCTGGTTACTTCACAGCATTCACACGTCTAAAATATCCGATCTCAGAATCTGAATCTCAGATCACAGAAGCTGGAAGTTTTTAACCTTTCTTTTTTGTAAATTAAATAATCCCCATACAATAATCATGATAATAATAACATTATTATTCATGTCATTGTAGTATGCAATTTTTTTTTTATATTTATGAAAAGAAAGATTAAAACGTCAATTCAAGCGCCTACAGGTGATCTAGGAGTAATTTTTTTCGTTTGACACATTTCAGTTAAGCTCTCACAAAATTCTCCACAATGTTATTTTTTTCACTTTGATAAAGATAAAAAAAATACATGTATTTATTAAAATATTATCATACAGCAACCAAATAACAGTACTTTTACCTTTAGGCAGCAATTCCACATTATTACCAAACCCAACAGTCGAGAAATCATTAGACTTCAGCATCCAGATCACCAAATATCTAAAACACATGAGGTTCACATTATAAAAGGCAGCTAACAGATTGAGCAGTTAACTGCACGAAGTGCATGATATGTATCTTAAAACAAGAAGTACTACGGGAGTATCTCTGAGGCATATATACAAGTTTTCTAGTAGTATACATTCACGTTGCAATAAAACATTAACACAGTTTCCTAGGGTAATGAAACGTTGTACTTTTGACATAGACATTAATGTACAGTTGTATTGCAGAATCTAATTACATTATCAGGGTCCACATAGAATTAATAACAGTGTATGTACGTAGAATTTACAATCGATTTCTTGAGAAACGTTCCAAGTCCGAATATATAACCAATAAATATTCTTACCATTTGACTCACAATTCAAAATACATATTACACGCTCTCTCATTTAAAAGAAAGTAATTACCTTCCTACCAAACATACTGAGTTACATTGTACTTTACAATAATGTCATGTAATGTTAGTAATGGACTTCACAGTAAATTAATGCTTTTTTCAGCCAATGCATTGATCAATGAAAGCTCTTTTACTTGGGAGTCACGAAAACACAAAGGATTTAATGACAACGCAAGTCACAAGCAGATCGTGTTGTCACAAGCAGATTAATTACAATGTACTAGTGAAATGCATGGAAACTGATTGTACTATTTAACATAAAAGTGTTGGCTTTCAAAAAGTTTGTCTGACATGAGCAAAATATATTATTTCATGGAGAACTAAGAAAATAATAATAGAGAGTTCTCAACGTAATTCTGAGTCAAGAAATAAATTATTCTGTAAATACGAAAAGTCAATCCAGGTGTATAAACATGAAATAAAATGGGATATGGATTTATTCTACACAGACTTATAATGTGAACAACATGAAGAGGAGGTACAACTATAACCCCCCCCCCCCCCCCCCCCCCCCATTATACCAGTATATATTTATTTGCCATAGAAAACGTAGCTACCCCAATTATCATGATTGTTAACAATATAACATAATTATTTATATTAACTAAAGCCACTGGTTTTGCACCCCTTCCCCATGACATTTCTTCTGATTGGTCTTTTCCGAGATCTAGATTAAACCAGACTGGTGCGTTTGAAAAAAAAAATTAAAGCTATAATATATTACAAATCTAAATATTATTTGGTAAACAGTTGGGAAAATTATGATTTCTTTTTTTTTAAAATACATTGAAATATTTACATCTGTGTTTTTCTAGAAAGCTTACTGTGAAATTGATTTGAAAACAGTTTCGTGTATACTCACGCGTATAAATACATGTATACACGGAGAAACGTGCGTTAACGTGACGTCACAATGAGACTGCAGCGACGTTAGTATAATGCAACAATATAGGGCAGCGAGAAAATTAAATGTTGAGTACATTTTAGTTGCCTCGAAACAGGTAAAATGTAAATATAAGAAATTTTTTTCAGTTAAGTGTTAATTTTTGTTGTGTGAATCACACAGACTTGCACATAGGCATATTTTTCATGAAGCGCACTAATATGCCTATGTGACAAGTCTGTGTGATTCACACATCAATAACTCACATGCACAAAACTAAAAAACATTCCTTGAATAAACCTTAACCTGTATAAATGTGCAAATAAATTTCCCTATAAACACAAAGAGTTAATCATCTACCATTATTTTTCTTTTGACTTTTTTAAACTATGACTAAATCAAATGACTGAAAAGTTAGGAATATGACTTTTGTGTAATTCTAAAGGTTTAAGGATTGTATGGATGCATTCAATAAAAATTGATATTGTTGAGATGGTGACCAGATCAAATGAATGAGGCCCGCTTTCAGAATGAACATGAAAATATCAGGTAGCCAAAAGGGTTTTGACCATGACCCTGAACCCACCGTATGTACATGTACTCGCGTATATGTCAGTCTGCCTACAAATCGGTTGTATTTTATTCAGTTACATGTATATTTGGGGTATTTGCCACTGCCTCGGCGCTTATCATTCGTACTACTTTTTGTAAGAATTGGTTGACCATTTTAAATCAATGCACTGCATGATGTTTAAACCTGGTTTCAATCAATATTAAAAAAAAAAAACGCCTATATTCAATTTAAATCATTAAAAAATAAGTAACCCACACTTAAGATAAAAATTAAACTATCAAAATTCATAGACACGTGTATTTTTCAGTGTAAGCAAAATCTTCGAATAGATGTATTATTTTATTTATAAAGACTTTCTTCAACGATAGTCTAGAGCGTTTGGTCTAAATTTTACTTCCATTGCAAACAACCGACTAATAGTCGAGAATATACGGTAGAAACTTTGTTTAAGACCACTGCACATCCAATCCATTTCCCAGTGGCACTCTGTGAGTGAAGTACATGTGTAAGAGTCCCATTGGACCAAGGGGAGAGAAAATATGCTCCGGACAAGAATTTTTATATAAATCTCCTTTGACCTTAATCTTTGACCTAGAAACATGGGTCAAGGTTACTGCACATCCTTTCCCCAAAGTCACTTTGTATGTGAAGTATGGGCAAGATTGGGCCAAGGAGAGACAACATAAGATTTAAAACTAGAACTGTCCAAACGGGACAAATTACCCCCCGCTGGGTTTTTCAGAAGTAAGCTTTTCCATAATAAAGATACATGTATGTATCAAACACGAATTATGAAATTTTTATTCCAGTGACCTTGAACTTCTCTAAATGACCTTGGGTCAAGATCATGACACACCCTTGGGTCATGGGCAATCTCTGTGTGAAATAAAAACCTACCAAGTTTATCCATAAGAAAGATATGGACCGTAAACGAATAATGAAACTTTTCTATCAGCGACCTTGAACTTCTCTAAATGACCTTGGATCAAGGTCATGACACACCCTTGGGTCATGGGCAATATCTGTGTGAAATAAAAACCTACCAAGTTTATCCATAAGAAAGATATGGACCGGACACGAATTATGAAACTTTTCTTTCAGCCACCTTGAACTTCTCCAAATGACCTTGGGTCAAGGTCATGACACACTCTTAAGTCATAAGCAATCTCTGGTTGAAATGAGAACCTACCAAGTTTATCTATAAAAGATATGTATCAAACATGATTTATGAAATTTTCTTCCAGTGACCTTGAACTTCCCCAAATGACCTTGGGTCAAGGTCATAACAAACCCTTGGGTCATGGTCAATCCTTGTGTGAAATGAGAACCTACCAAGTTTATCCATAAGAAAGATATGGACCGGACACGAATTATGAAATTTTTCTTCCAGTGACCTTGAACTTCCCCAAATGACCTTGAGTCAAGGTCATGACACACCCTTAGGTCATGAGCAATCTTAGTGTGGAGTAGTAGATTCTAATGTCCCTCTGTAAGAAAGATATGGACCGGACACGATTGCACAGACAGACGGACGGACGGACAGACGGACAAGGTGATTCCTATATACCCCCCCAAACTTCGTTTGCGGGGGGTATAACAAGAGGCCCAAGGGCAACGTTGCTCACCTGAGCATATCGGGTAGTGAAAAGCACAGATCAGAACAGAATTGATAAGTTTACTGAGGAGGTGGGGGGGCGGGGGGGGGGGGGCTTGAAATCTATTACTATTTGAAAATACCTCCATATCAATTCTGCATATGACTTCTTGAGAAACTTGTTAAAAAAGATTTTTTAACATTTTGTTCTATAAATTACTTTGTAATAATTTGAACTTGACTCACTATTGTTTCCCTCCCTACCCCAAAGGGTATTCATGATTTGAACATATTTAAATCTTCAATACATGAGGATGCTTACATGTCAATATGACTTAACATAGCTTTTCTGTTATTGAGATTTTTTAAAATTTGGATCCTTCATTGTGGCTTCATCCTACCCCTGGGGGTTATGATTTGAACAAACTAGAATCTACAGTAACTGAGGATGCTTCTACATATATATTACTAATCATGGCTTTGCAGCGCTAAAGACGTTTTGTTAAAGATTTCCCCCATTTATTGATATGAAAAACTTTGATCGGCAATTGTGGCACCACCCTACCCCTGGGAGTCCTGATTCAATCAAACTTGAACGTACACTTTCTGAGGCTGATTCAACATTAGTTTCATCTTTCCTGTCCTAATGGTTCTTGAGAAGATTTTCAAAAATATTTGCTACTAGTATTTATTCCTATGTAAAATTTTGATCGGCCATTGTGGCCACACCCTTTCCCGGGGGCCACGAACTTAAATGTACACTATTTGAGGATGATTCAACATGAGTTTCATCTTTTCTGTCCCTGTGGTTCTTGAGAAGAAGATTTTTAAATATTGTTCCTATATATTCCTATGTAAAAATTCAATCGGCCATGGTGACCCCACCCTACCCCCAGAGGGCACGATTTGAACAATCTTGAATGTACACTATCTGATGAGGATGCATCTACATGAGTTTCATATTTCCTTGCCCAGTAGTCTTTGGAAAGTGCTATTAATTTTTCACTTATACATAATTATCTCTCCTTGGAAGAGGGCCTGGCCCTTCATTTGAACAAATTTGAATCCCCTTAACCCAAGAATACTAAATAGCAAGTTTGTTAGAAATTGGTCCAGTGGTTCTTGAGAAGAAGATGAACAACAACAATGACGACAGGCAACGGAAAAATTGAAAAATCAGAAAAGCTCACTTGAGGCTTCGGCTCATGTGAGCTAAAGAGGGGCAGAAATTTATTTTGCTATTGAAACCGCACACAAGCTTGACAGGCTAATCAGAGAATTAGTGTCCCCCGCTCGGGGAAAAAGTAAACCATGCGCAGTTCTGGGAGAGGGGGGGGGGGGTAGTTGGATCCCTCTGACTGAATTTGTAGAATCATTAAATGTATACATGTATACTGAAGCAAATAAAGTACATGTATGTCAATATATGGATATAAAGATTTGATTGCTTATTCTTAATTATGTGTATACTATAGTTTCCTTATATGGAATTTTTATCACACTGTAATGATGACTTTATGAGTTTGTACAAGCTAGACCTCATAACTTTAAAATTTCACATGCTGAATACTCATTACTGTCATTTAGTAAAAAAAAAAAAAGCATTTTGAAAAAAGAAAATAGATCGTCCGGGAATCGAACCCGGGATTTCTCACATGTGAAGCGAGAGACATACCTCTAAACCACAGAAACGCTGTTAATTTAAAAAAATTATATACAAAGATGAAGTCACAACATGTATTTATATATTCACGTTATAATTCACGATATAATGTGTAAATATGTGTAATTATACATATTTCTCTTTCAAATTGTTAATGTTCCATGGTAAAAGCATGTTACAAATGACATTATGAACTTGAACGTTTATTTTTACAAAAAGACCATTTTGTAATTTTTTTTTAATAACACTCTTACCAATATGTTTTGTTATTTGATATTCTTTAATTTTATAGCGAGCGTCGCGAAGCAACGCTCGCGAAGCGAGCTCAATAGACTAACGTGTATGAACAGAGGTAATTCGGATTGAAATCTGTACATACGTCAGCTCTGTGCAACCTTCCCAGAATTCCTGCACTACCCAATGTCCTTTGCGCGAATAAATCAAAAAATAGTAAAAAAAATAAAGGAACATTGTTTCTTACCGAAATCTTAACGAAATGATTTTGCCTTACCTTATTCAAAAAAATACCCCAATGTCACAACACCGGCCTTCACCTTGCCATTCGGAATTGATACAAATGATGTCATCGGAAACTTACGAATTTTGACGAAGTTATGTCGGTTGCTTCCGTGAAACTCGGAAAACATGTTGCAGTACATAGCAAAATGGTGGCTAAAACATGGCAACAACTTACTTGAAAAGAACGATTTAAAGCAATCTTTTTTTCCATAAAACTAGCGTTTGCGTCCAAAGTCAACAGAACTTTTTATCTGACGTCATACTTCCGTCACGTCAACGGTTCGGGTATTTCCGATTTTGTCGGACATTTCCGAGAAGTTTGGAATCTCAATCCCGATACTTGGGAAATGATTTCTTTTTATTGTTTTGTTTTATTCTTTTTCTTGAATGATAGACAGTACACGTGTAGGTTTCTGCTAGTAAATAAACTGCGCTCGCCCCAACGGTCACACTGTAAAACATATTATAAAGATAACAATATAAAAGTAACTTTTTATCATTATTATGGAATACACTTCTTAGATACCAATTTATGTGATTTTTCCTTAGCTTTTAGTTTTCATCAAGAGTCTTTTCTCGATATTTGGATCTGGCGACAGTTCTTTCCATATGCGTCAATTGAAAGCAGCGCTCTGATTGGTTGCTTTCTGTAGATAAATCGTACACAAAATATAAACTGTAAGGATTGACATGCTTAGTGAAGGATATTTAACAAGTTTATACAGATAAATATAACCAAATATAGTAAAATACGTACAATGAAACCACAACTGTATTGTTCAATGACATCACGACAGTTTGATTTTCCCTCCGTTTTGGTGCACTAAAGGGCTACTTTGTGTACGAGTTATTAACAGAACGCTGCATTCAACTTACGCCGGAAATCCATATGGAAAGAACTGTCGCCAGAACCAAATATCGAGAAAAGAGGTTAGTTATATGACTAACGGCACGCGTTGATTAAAATTTGACTGAAGAATATTAAAATTGAGTCTAAAATTGAGTCTATACTCCACTCACTCCTTCTTGGTCCGCAACGAAATTCGCCCAGAAACAAGATATAAAGTCCGGTCAAAATTTGTAGTAGCGAATTTCCTATTTTTAGATTCCTCCCTTGTGTACTTTTATAGTAGGGGTAACTTTATTAAAGGAAGATAAATATTTTGTGACAAGCCCCTGTGGTAAACAGTAAAATTTCAAGCCGGTTTCAGTTGATATAGATGATTAAGGTATGATTTAAGATTTCTAGAGGAAAAAATCGTAGATGATAATTATTTTGAATTATTTATATTGTTGAATATTCAGAATAATGGCTTTTGAAATAAATGTGTTTTATGTTTATGACAAACATTCAAATTATTGTATACAAAAAAACTTACTTTATTCATGACATTAAAGCAAATTATTTTAAAATATACGAGTTTACCAATCAGAAAATTTTACAAATTTATTCTTTTTTAGTAAGTCAGTCATGTAGCAACAGGGGGCCGGGGGCTTGCCCCTTCCCCCACTATTTTCCAGACATAACTTTTAGTTTTACTGTATTAAAAATTTCCATTGAAAGCTGGGTGTTAGCAACACCCTTGAAAGTCCCCATCCCACCACACACTTTTTCAGAAAAAAAGATGCTATATCACTTTAAAAAATATTATAATTTTTATCATAATTAAGTCCCTTTGGTTAACTCGACGCATCTTACTGAATGTCACCTATCATGGATCATCATGGATCATATAATGAATCAATATGAACAGGACTCATCTAACCAAAAACTATATGTATGATGAAAATTGATTGAAAACTGCTCAATTTTTAATTTATGACAGAGAATGCTAACACCTAAACATTCATGGTGAAAATCCACATTAGTCTTTGTGTACAAGAAAAAAAACCTTTTCAGCATTACAGACACATTAAAACCACAATAAATAAAGGATATTCGTGTCGCAACTTTATTCGAAGTATTCTATACTGGTTGCAAGTTGCGAAACCATTATTTAACCTTACTTGTGTCTTGCATTACATTTATCAGCAAAACAAACGATAATTATGTTTATTTTATCTTGTTAAAATACTGTCTTACTTACAATAGATCGGTTTTGATTGTGAGTTTACTAATCATAATATGTTCTCTCGACTCTTGAATGCAAACAGCTGATCAATGCCTAGGTCACATTTCCCGGCCGGTAGCCTTGACCGTTGGTAATCAGTGGTAATCCGTGGTGTTAGCGATGCCCAAAAATCGGTACACATCGGCCTAGTAGTCCTTAAAGTATCAGTCACATTATCCAGCGATGGGTATACGATGGGCAAGAAATGCATTTTATGATAAAAATGGCGTGGTTGCCGGCCGGACTTACAAAGGACCACCGATGCATTGCTAATCAAAAAACGATGTTCCAGGATAATCAGCCGATATATATTACATCGTTCATTCATTGGCAAACATCGTTCGTATATCAGTCGACTACGGGCCAATGTTTGATCGAAAATCGACCGGTGATCGGCAGTTATCTGTTGAACACCACTCAATCCCCCGATGACTTCTGATTCAACGGTTATTGGACGATGCTCGGCCATACATCGGCCGATCCTTGAAAGATTTGTTAATGATGGGTTACCGATGAGGAGCGATGTGAGACATCGTTGGAGATATCGCTGAAATTAAACTACGAATTATTTCCTACCGATGACCCCACCGATTCGCAAAATGGCCTCAGTCACCGTCCGATCACTAGTGGTGCCCGGCCGGCAATCATGCCATTTTCATCAAAAAACTCATCGGTTTCTCATCGTATACCCCATCGCTGGATAATGTGACATATACTTAAGTTGGATCCGATCTCGATGCTTAAAAACATTAAACAGTTTATAGTACACTTCTGCTGTCGCTTTCTTTTCCCAAATATTTTTTTTTCAGTCAATTAATAAATATCTAATTAAATAAGTCATATATTGCCTTTTTTATGTAATTTTAGCGATGAAGTTTCAGATGATAGCCCAGATCAGATGCCGATCACGATGCAATAGCGTCGAATGTCAAACACTTATTTTTCAGGATTTTTCTGAAAATATTTAAAAAACCAGAATTCTTTAACAGTCTTGAAACTTTATTACTTTGATTTTACTCCATTTTAAATACTAATTGCGTCTTTATAAGGCGATTACAACTTTCACTGGGTCTAATTAAACGAGTGCCGAATTGCTATGCTGCCACTTTTTTTTGAGCGACACTGAGCACTAGCGACAGTTTTCACTGGTACTTTGAGAGGGGTAAGAGAGGTTCTAGGGAGTGTTGGTATATCGCAAAAGCTCAGAAGCCTCTTGAAATATCGCCCGGAAAAGATAGACACACAGATATAATGTATAAATGTATGACCTAGAACTTTGAACATCTGAACTCAAAATCAATAGGGATCTTCCTTACTAAGGCCACAGGGAGTTGTTATGTAAAATTTCATTGCAAAACCTCAAAGGGTTCTCGAGATATTGCGCGGAAACGAAAGGGTTATTACAGACAGTATTTGCGAATGTATGACCTTGACCTTTAGACCTAAAAATCAATTGGGTTTTTCTTTAGTCCATAGGAAGTTCATATGCTAAATTTTATTGCAAAAGCTCAAAGAATTCTCGAGATATCGCGTGGAAACGAAAGCGTTACAGACAGACAGCTAATCCTGTTCTTACGAGAGGTACATTGTGGGGTAAAATTAACGTATTTTCCAGCAGTGTGGGGTTTTTTGGGTACTGTGGGGTTAACCCCATAATGAAGAGGTCTAATTACGTTCAAAATTACTCTATGAGGTCGAAAAACCTAAAATTAGATTTAACCTCACAAAGACTTTGTCCAAATTTTGGACATGTCCTTAGCGCAAAACGCTCAGACATTCAGAAATCTGCTGTTTAGAGGAGTTCGGTAATTGAATCGAGGAGTTCCGAATACCTGAGCATGCGCATATATTTAAAACTAACTGCGCATGCGCAGAATACGGAAGTAGCTGTGTTTGGACATTTTGTATTAGCAGTGAGGAAATTCGGAAACACAAAAAGCAAATGCAGTAAGTCTTACTATTTTGTTGCACCACATTGAAAAAAAGCTTTGTAAGTTGTTTGATATGATTCATACGTACATTATGCAGTTGTAGAATTTATTTAAAGTCAAGGAAAGGACACTTGTAGTCCACATAAACACATACCGATTGAAAACGGGCTTTTGTGAAAAAAATTATAATGAATGCACTGATAGTTCTTTTTTTAATCAGAGGTCTGCAATGAAAATCGACCGATACCCGGGGGTCGGGCTAGTGGTTTTCTGCAAGAGGGTCGCCCCGTTGGCCAGTAAAAAAAGATAATATTATTTATACACGTGCAATACATGCAAAGCACACCTGGTACGTATTTTCACTCGTTTTTTGCAACAAAAATCCAAACCATTTAAATTTTCCATATAACATGCTCCAACTGTCAATAAATCTCCATAATTTAATCCGTGTTGGAGTACTACTTGGCTTATTTACTTCAAAAAACGATCGTGTTTTTTTCTTAATTCGAATTTTCTCTATATCTATGGTAATTACATGCAGATATCTCATAACATAAATACATGTGATTCTTCCGATGGGAGACAAAATCTCTGGATTTTTCACGCCTCTTCCGCCCCTTCCGATTAATTTTTAAATCATCCGTGTTTAAATTTTTTTCAAATTGAATATTTTTGGCTTTAATTTTATCCTGTTTCGTAATATAATTGCTCTCTCTCTCTCTCTCTCAATTCATTCTAGATACGTACCAATTGTTTATCTACTCTTCACACATTTGTTTACATGTACTTGTAATCGTACCTTAATCTATAGAGAAAAAAATCAGAATGGAAAAATGGAATTAATGTCACTGCAATAAATTTTCACAGCAAGTAGGAATCGTAGGAATCAACATGGGGTTGTATAATTAGGTTGTAAAATTTAGTGGTATATCAATTTGATAAATGACAATCAATGTTTATAAATGAGTGTAGGACATTTTAATCAGTTGTTAAAATACCCAATATGTCACATTGCTTACACAGTCGCTTGTGTAATTATGTGCCGGATAAAAAAATTCACCTATTAAAGAAATTAAACAAATTACCTTTAGATACGTATATATAACTCTCTTTGTGTTAATGGAAAAAATATAATTGTCCTGTAAGATCAATTTGTACTTATTTTTCAAGATCGACCATTGAAAATTTAAAAGAATTAAATCACAATTAATAGTTTTTCTATAGCTAAACTTAAAGAAATTCAAGCTTAAAGCTTCATTTTGTAATTTACAATATTAATTCATCATTACTTTGAATATTTACAGTGAGAGTATGTAACTTAGCTAATACAGGTCTATCAGTATTTTCACACCTGTTAGATTTTGATTCCGTGTAGAAGCTCTAATTGCAACTCTTGTCAAAACAAAGGATTTGTATAGCATGATTATCTCGTGAATTTCACTATCAGGAGACGATCGATAGGGATTAGTTACGCTCTGGTGCACTTGACACCTGTGTTGTAGTAGAATGATTTTAAACTGCGTTAATACAAATCTTTGGTCAATTGAATAATTTTTTGTGTGTGTCTGTATGTTAGATAGAAATTCTGACAGCTTTATAAAAATAATATTAAAAATTTACCAGACTTTAAAAACTTCAGCAAAGTAGTTGATCGAGGATTAATTGAAAGGGGGGGGGGGGGTTTACACTGCTGATCATTACCTGAACATATTATAGTGAAGTTTTTAAATGAATTTTATTGACACTTACTGAAATAAATTTTTATACTTTATTTAATTCACCATTAAACTGTCTTTTAATTAAAGCTTTTATATTTTTTCTTATTAAAAAAATAGTTAGTAGTAAGGCACATGTATTTCTTCTTGAATGATTTGAATGTTACAAAAGAACACTAAGAGTTCCCGAAACTAGTCAAAAATATGTCGGACAATTGTCTTGTAAATATTCAAAATTCACCGGACAGTTGTAAAATTTACCGGACATTAATTTTTTGTATTAAATCTCTATAATATCCTCTAACATATTATAGGATTGGAAATTGTAACGATATAATAAATGATATGTGTAAATAAAAAGATGGCAGATTAAAAAAAAAAAATTATTGAAATATTTTGTATATGGCCTTTGTATGCAGGATTTGACGTTGCCGAAGGCGTGTGATGACCAACGCTTAATTCATGTATAAATTTATTATGTCCTTTCTGACAGATTTTTAAAATGTTTTTAAAAATAAAATCTGCAACATGACAACTCTTGGTTGATTGTTTGGAAAATATGTTGTTTTCCAGGCTTTTTTCTTTTGGATTTTTGTATTTTATGTGCCAGGAAAAATATTACGTAAAATATCAAACTCGTTTTAAAAAGCCTGGTAAAACGTCCGATATTTCTGACTAGTTAAAATTTATTATGCAACCTCCATACAGTTAAAAATATGTACTAATGATATAAAGATATGCAAATTTATCATGAAAATGATGATTTTAAGTGAATTTGTTGTCGTTTTACTACATTCAAGTCAATCCGCTATTTTTAGAAAAGGGGAAAAACGCGCTTGTATTTTAAATGCTATCAAATACATTAAAAAAAATCCAGAAGTTGGTATAATATTATCATGCTTAAGATTAAATTATAGAGAAAATAATAAATGGTAACAAATTGTCTGTAATCAAGCAGAAATAGCAGGCACTCTTGCAACCCTGCAAATTCGTCCTTCAAAACGAAAGTAGATTGTCACATTTTTTTTTACTGTCAGAACTACAGAGTGCATATATTTATCATGGAAAATATTTGTTGACAGGGTTTTTAAAACTGTTTTTCCTCCCAGACTTATGGAAATTATTATTTTAATATGTAGCTTTTTATAGTAGACAATCAACGTCTACATTTTATTTAAACAAGATCTGGCGATGCCCTGACGTTTTTTTTTTTTTTTTTCATTCCTTTAGTTTTGCATTTGTTTATTGTCAGGACAATTGAATTAAATGATTTTGTTAAGATTATATGTAAAGGTTATACAGTCTGTAAAAAAAAAACCATCGGACATTTTGACCAATAAAATTAAGATTTTACCGGTCCCATTCAAAGTTCACCGGGGATCCCCGGTGGACCGGTGCGTTTCTGGAACTCTGAACACTTATGAACAAAACCTTAAAAAATTAATTTGGAATTCTTTAATTTCATATTTTTTAAATAGGCATGGATTAATATATATATACACACATACAAAGGTTTTGTGAAATTGACACGTTTAATTAAATCAACTGTAGTGGTTATTGCTGTTTATTTATTGACTGACTGGCTACTTCTTGGGCAAACTGGTATAAGAGGCCACCTGTTTTAAGTGACTAGTTTCTGGACTTCCCAAAGCTTAAAACAAGTTTGACTGTACTTTTTCACCTTTTACCAATATAAGAAAGTAGTTCACAGTACATGACAACTATGCTTTAAATAAATTTCGATGAATTTTAATTAGTAACTCGGAATTTTTGTATGTGATATAAATAAACATTTGCTTCTGTATTCCTTTGTAGAGTTCAGATACTGAAAGTGAACATCAGTGGAACTTTGATGATCTAGGCCGCTCTATTTTTGCAGCAACACCAGCATGCGTCGGACATTCATAAAGTTGAAAGAACAAACCTATGACTTGAACACACAATTTGTGATCTGAATATAGTTCACAAATTTAAGGAAAGCAACTATCAAAGACATCCAGATTGATGGTTAGTACATGTTATAAGTGCCCATAAAATCAAGACAACAATATTATTTTACAATAAATTAAAACATAACCTGTTAAAAAAAAATTGAACATTATCATTTATAAATATATTTTACTGTATTTTTTTTTTGACAGGTATACATGAAGTATGAATGAAAGACTTTTCAGAAGAACAAGCACAATCCCGATTCATTCTTGCCATTGTCTTCTCCAGACGGTGACATTTAGGACCTGACTTACTTTTCAGAAAAAGAAGATGAATCGATTTTTGATAGTTGAACTTAAAAAGATAACATTTTCAGGGGTCGTGGATTGAATGACATTTTCTTGCAATCTCCCATGCAGAGTTGTCGTTCGTTCCTCTCTCAGACACCTCTGCAATGGGCTCACGTCAAGATTTTTGACATAACGTATAAAACTTGATATTTGAAGAATTGTTTCAATTCAAATCAATAGTTCTGGATTGATTTAGTAAATATCTATCTAAAAATTCAGACATAAACATAGAAATTGAATTGTAATGAATTAAAACAAACGCACTATTTCTCGTGTTTAAAACTGTGTATACGCGAGCCAACGACAGAGGTGAATGTATGAGCCGATGGTAGAGAGTGATTTTCTTGATGGGCAACTAGTTTCAAGTATTTGGATGTCTATTCTCAAGTTACTGCAAACCTTAAATTAACTTCTTGATTATTAGTTAAATGTGAGACCGTTTCTTACTTGAAGTAATCATTTTTTGAATTGAGCTATGTAATCTCTGATTACTTATGTTTATGAGTAGTGTTCAGCTTTAAGACAAAAGGATCTTTTATGAACATTGCATTCGTCATGGTGAATTTCTATACATTAAGTAACAGTCATAGTTTTCGTCTTTTTTAATTAGCGATCTCATTTTAAATGTGAGAAATAATTATTAAACTGAAATGTACATTTATGTTGTTTGATTTTTATTTTTTTGAAAATTGTAAATCAATTGCATGTTGTTGTTTTTTTTTTCATTTTATTTTAGGGGATGGGAGTGGGGGTGCAGCTGTAAGTTTGAGTATATTTTCCAAAAGGATGTACATCGTTATTTTTGTTTAAATATCAATTTTAAAATGCAAAATGATGAGATATTAGACTACACATTTTTTCTTAAAACTTCATTTAAATTAATATATTTTGTTTAAAATAAGTAGCAACACCATGCAAGTTTTAGAGTTATTTGACAACTCACTATATACTTGTTTTTTTTTTTTTTTACATTTATGAAGATTGTCTCAAATTTTGAGGGTTTTTTTCTGTGTTCTACATTTATTGACATGTTTCTTATCTGTGTTCATCTTGTCGAGTAAATGAAAAGTTTGATTAAATTTTTTAAAAAAAATCAGGATCATCTCTTTTATTTATTATTATTAATTTACAATGAAATTATGTATGCTTTTGATGCATAATGTGCACTTCAAATTCATGCACCAGCAGATTCAAAGGAAAAATTCTCATTAGAAATAAGCAGTTAAGATAAAGAGATTATCCAATTAAAAATAGTTTGAAAAATATTTAAAACAAATTTTCAAGTATGTTATCAAAATAGGAAAAAGTATTATGAATATAGTTTGGTATTTTTAATAGTAAAAAAAAAAGAGGATATGACGTACTGGCAATTGCATCATCTCACTCAGGGTCTTTCCGTCAGAGTTCGGAAAAACAACCTCGAATGTATTAACATCACCTGATGTTAAAGGTTATGCTTTTCTTGTTTTTTTTCAAATATAGGATAGAGGAAGTAAGAAGTCCCTTTTATAGTAAGTTTTATGTAATATCATAGCATTGAATAAAATTAAACTCCATATTCCACAGATAAAAGGTCTTCATGCATTTATTTCGAAGATCATGAAAAGGGGGGGTTGTTGCCATGGCGTCTAACTAATACATTCGAGGTCATTTGTCATCTAGTCAGAAAGGCTCGAGAAGTTGCGATTGAACATAGTGGGGGTTCTTGTTCTTTTATTACCAGTCCCTGGTAGAGTTTTTTGATATTAGAACATACTGGGGTTTTCAAACACTTAAATTCATATGGTTACTGGTATCTGTTACATGAGAATACAGTGGGGTTGTTTGTTTAACACTCTGAGGTTACTAAGATGTCTAATATTTTCTATCAGAACATATTGTGGTTCTTGTCTAACACTTTGTGGGGTAATTGTTATCTTTTATCTATATAAGAACATAATGGGGTTGTTACACATTATGGGGTTAGTGTTGTCTATTATCTTTATAAGAGTACTTCGTGGGGTTGTTGTCCTAACACTTTATGGGGTTAGTGTTGTCTATTATCTTTATGAGAGTACATAGTGGGGTTGCTGTCCAAACACTTTATGGGGTTAGTGTTGTCTTTTATCTTAATAACAGTACATAGTGGGATTGCTGACCAAACACTTTATGGGGTTAGTGTTGTCTATTATCTTTATGAAAGTACATAGTGGGGTTGCTGTCCAAACACTTTATGGGGTTAGTGTTGTCTTTTATCTTAATAACAGTACATAGTGGGGTTGCTGTCCAAACACTTTATGGAGTTAGTGTTGTCTATTATCTTTATGAAAGTACATAGTGGAGTTGCTGTCCAAACACTTTATGGGGTTTATGTTGTCTATTATCTTTATGAAAGTACATAGTGGGGTTGCTGTCCAAACACTTTATGGGGTTAGTGTTGTCTATTATCTTTATGAAAATACATAGTGGGGTTGCTGTCCAAACACTTTATGGGGTTAGTGTTGTCTATTATCTTTACGAAAGTACATAGTGGGGTTGGTGTCCAAACACTTTATGGGGTTAGTGTTGTGTATTATCTTTATGAGAGTACATAGTGGGGTTGCTGTCCAAACACTTTATGGGGTTAGTGTTGTCTGTTATCTTTATGAGAGTACATAGTGGGATTGCTGACCAAACACTTTATGGGGTTAGTGTTGTCTATTATCTTTATGAGAGTACATAGTGGGGTTGCTGTCCAAACACTTTATGGGGTTAGTGTTGTGTATTATCTTTATGAGAGTACATAGTGGGGTTGCTGTCCAAACACTTTACGGGGTTAGTGTTGTCTATTATCTTTATGAGAGTACATAGTGGGGTTGCTGTCCAAACACTTTATGGGGTTAGTGTTGTCTATTATCTATATAAGAACATAGTGGGGTTGCTGTCCAAACACTTTATGGGGTTAGTGTTGTCTATTATCTTTATGCGAGTACATAGTGGGGTGGTTGTCCGAACTCTTTATGGGGTTAGTGTTGTCTATTATCTTTATGATAGTACATAGTGGGGTTGCTTTCCAAACACTTTATGGGGTTAGTGTTGTCTATTATCTTTATGAGAGTACATAGTGGGGTTGCTGTCCAAACACTTTATGGGGTTAGTGTTGTCTATTATCTTTATAAGAATACATAGTGGGGTTGTTGTCCAAACACTTAATGGGGTTAGTGTTGTCTATTATCTTTATAAGAGTACACACTGGGGTTGTTTGTCTTATAATTTATGGGGTTAGTGTTGTCTATTATTTCTTTATAGCATAGTGGGGTTGTTTGTTTAACACTCTCTGGAATATTCTTGTCTATCATCTTTATGTGAAAACATGATGGGTTAATTTACTTTGATGCAACAGTTATCCTCAAATAAAACACATTTTTTTGCATTGTTACTGTTAGGCAGTAGTTGAAAAATGTTATTGCAATATCCGTTCTAAGTTCTTCAGATAAACAGTAACAATTTTAAGTACTCATAATTAGTTGCCCGTAAAGTTGACTTGATATTAAATAATTTATTTTTAACCCCACAAATATAGATCTTTAACCCCACAAATATAGATCTTTAACCCCACAAATATAGACCTTTAACCCCACAATATACCATTTGTTTGAATTCCTAATGATACCTCTCAAGTCACCACTGTACTATTAATAACCCCACAAAGCAAAATTATAACCCCGCACCTTCCGTAAAATGCACAATGTACCTCTCAACTGTATAGATGACGGACGGACGGACAAACCCAAATTAATATCCCGCACTTTTCAAGTGGGGGACAAAAAGCGGGAGGGTGTATAAACTCTTCAAAAAAAAGAAACGCATTGTAGGAACAATGCCCTGCAAAATGTACGATTGTTTTAATTTGTCATACCTTTTATATTTATATGGATATGATATATTCGAGTGAAATGCGTGATTTTTTAATGGAATTGTTAAGTTTACAGCTATTCTACAAGTCTCACAGACAAAAAAGTCCTAAATTTGCAAATTTTCCTTAAAGAATGAAGGCGTACAAAGCGAGGACAACCCCCCCCCCCCCGCTCTGAAAAAAAAGACATTTCTCAATTCTAAAAGTAGTATTTTTTCAATTTTTTTTGGTGAATATCATCTTATACATATCAAATTCTGTATTGCATTGTTTTAATAATTTATTAATATATATATTTTTCACTATATATAATTTTCAGAAAAAGCTTCATGTCTGATTCGAACTCTCCGTTACGCAGGTTTGGATTAAGAACAACCGCTTTAACCACTGCGCTTCGAAGTATATGCATTATTGACGTCTTTTATTGTGATTTGTTAAAGCGTAATTTTTTTTTTAGAAAACTATTTCCATATAGAATGGGTTCAGATTCCATTTTTAGGACAAATGAAATAGATTTCACATTTACGTTCCCGTCATTTAAGCGTTCACGAAGAATGGAGACTTGACCCATTCGTGTTTAAAATTAGTTTTTTTTAGTGTAAAATCCATTTTCCACTAAATATGCTTAACTGTCAACTTTGAAATAAAGAATATCAAGTGACAAGTCTTTCAGTAAAATAAAATAAAAATTTTTGAAGATGATATTACTGAGAACATAATTTTAGAAAAATATAACTATTTTGTGAATTTTAAAAATTGAGTTCTGAAACATTTTGTATCAGAGGGGGGGGGGGGGGGGGGGGGTGTACAAGCCGTCTTTCTGTTGATCTCATTTTTCATTTGTTGAATTCTAATGGAGTTCCTTCAGGTACAAAGGGGCTATCAAAAACGGGGTTTCTCGATTTTTTGAATCCGGTTTTATCCGAAAAATGACGCTTCCTAAAATGCTGCATCCGAATGTTGCATACCACAAAAAGGAAAATGGGCGACCGGAAGCAGGAGTAACGCAATCTTCAATTGCAAGAGGTTTTGTTTTATGTTACGCATAGCGCCATATCTAACCTATAAAACATAAACCATCAACATCGAATACAATGTTCGCAAACATTATGGTAGACTAAGTGTGACATCAGGAGC